GATCCTAGGCGAAGCCCGGTAATGGGGCGGACTGGCAGTGCCCTCGCAGTCCATGTGTAACTCACTGTCTGAGATGTGACAGTGGCTTACAAGTGATTGTCAAGCGCGTTCGTCTGTAACCTGATTGAGAGCATTGGAATAAAGTCAACTGCCGTGGCGAACTTAAGTGGCCCTTGAGGAACTGCGACCAGTTGGCACGTGCTTAGGCTCGCGTGCTTCTGTGTCCTCTCCAGAGGTCTAGGTCATCGCGTGGGTATGGCCACCACGAAGGCATATGAGCTTGAAGGCAGTTCGCATTGACAAAGGAATCATTGTGGCAGTCGGTGGCAGGCACGACGTCTCAGGAGAGCCTGCAAGGCTGCTAGCATTTGTTCAGGCTAGACTCCTAACAAGATTTACCACAAGAATGAATGCGTTGAGAGAATGGAACCTTTTGTCTCGACCACAGCCTCTTTTTTCATTTTCACTAAGCGACAATGGAAGTCCGTCAATTAACTAGTCGGCACCAGCACAGGCCAGCAAGTACGTTATAGTTGCGTTTAATGTAAGAACTGGGTGGACTTTCCCCAAACGCAAACTAAATACGTGGTGTGGGACACAATGAGACTAGATTTAGCTTCTTACTGTTAGATTGTACTGCTGGAAATAGGTAAAACAACGGTACTCACCAGCGATGCTCTATATGACTCTTGTCACTAAAAGTATCCTCTGACCCAGTCTGTTCAATTACGCTATTGACTGGTTTAGCCGGAAGACCCTACACGAAATTGACTTACCACCCAGTCGCCGATTGACTGAGTTCGACTACGTTGAGGATAACGCCTTGTTTTTTAAACTTTGATGAATGAAAGCACTATGTCGGTCGGTTTATGCGTGAGCGCTAGGAAGACGAACATGTTTTTAAGCTACACTCGTGACCAGAAGGTGTCGAACAAAGGGTCGGTTAAAAACCTGACTGGATCTAGTTCGTTAAGGCATGGAGGTGGTTCTTGGACCTTCGAAATGCGCTTACTATCAGTGGAGCATAGGAGAGATTGAGCTCCTTAGGTCTGCTGTTACAGATCGTCACGCTTCGTGACGTCGTCAGGCATGATCGTCACCGCACCAAGTAAGAAAGTAATGCAAGGGAAAGTCCACGCTGGATTGAATATGGACGGCCTCCTACGTTAAACGCAGTTTAAGACCGGAAAACATTATTTTCTCATCATCGGTCTCCGAACTTTGTGTTGCATATTGTCAGATGTAAATAGGATTTGAAGGAAGCTAAAGCGCCTTTAAGACACTCCGTCATATTTAGTTCTGATAGTTAAAATAGTGGCCTAGCTATCATGTAATTATAATCTCAGATGAAAGCTCAATGTCGAAGAACCTCTAGAGTGGACTGTCTGCTCTACGAAACCAATCAACATATCGTCTACCGAGTCTTGACATTAGCCGCACCAATCAGATTGGATTCAGTAATCAGCTATTACTCGAACCATTTCGATAGTCACATCAAGAATCCTCATACATAGATGGAGTAGGTCAATATACGAAGAAA